ACCACATCTGATTTTTAGAGTTGGCTTGAGATATCTTGATCCTTAACATGTTATTGATCATCTGTTGTCATCGTATTGGCAGCACAATCAACATTCTGATTTTCACTCGAAGTCTTCATATTCTCTTGGATTGTAAGGTTCTCTAGCGATTCCTTTCCATATACCACTGTAATCATCATGCTCGTCAACTTGGACATCTTTTCTCTGGATACAACTTGGAACTTCCTAGCTTCATCAATCATTTCTTGTTGGGTATTTACGAGTTATTCCTAAATTCTCTTGATCTTTCTAAGTCGTGTTAATATCCAATGTTTTATATCTTTCCAGAAACACGTCGGGTAACTTCAATTTACTTTCAGAGCTTCTGTCACAGTATCATTCACGAGTTACTCTCATGTTTTCATGATTGATGCATGTAAAATCTTCATTTAGACAACAAGATTTCATTACAACATGTAGTCAAAATACAATTGTGATTCTTCATTTCCTTGAGTCGTATTCTTTATGGAATCTAACATTGCACCCCAAAGTTGTCGACACATTTCATCACATTTGATGACGTCGAATGTACTTAAATTGAATCTCGAAATATCTATTTTATTTCCAATGTGAAGTGGTCTTCATGTCTTTGTGAAGGGTCTTCTCATTATTGTCCTTAGTACGACTGCATCTATCTCTTAAAGGAATATCTCGGTCTTGGCGCCTTTAAAGGTAATCTTCAATCAACTTCAAACTTCTTCATTCATCGGATTTCCTTCTTCATAAATATGTCTTCAATCAGTTTTAGATTTCTTCAGTCATCGGATATCCTTATTCATGAATCATTCTTCTCATATTTCTTTAGTCACTGGATATCCTTCTTTATGAATCATTTGAATGTCTTTGGATCTCTTGATTTTAACTACATGGTTAAGAATTTCTTGCTTCATTATGACCAGCCTTCTTATTAGTCAATCACTTGCGAATTAACACCTTTGAATGACATGAAGATGTAAATGCAATAAATCAAAATAAAATAGATATAAAACCAAAATGGGTTAGTACACATAATATAAATAAAATAATAAGTGTCAAAATCATTAAATAAAACCTACCTTCACATTCTGACTACCCAATCATGCTTAGTATATCCTACTCAACATGATATTTCCCCCCATGCTTTTTCATTCACAAAAAATTCTAACCGCATGATATCTAATTCGCATTCTTGTTCGAGAAAACAAACCTAACCGAATGATTTCTAATTCACATACATTTATTCAAAAACAAAAATAAATGACTCAAAAACTTTTCCTTGTGTACCCTCCTCACGGGACTCCTAATGTTTGGGTTAGGCTCGACCTAATTTCAGGCTCTATGTTCATTATATGCTAGGTTCAGTTCTAAAGTAATGGGTTCTTGAATTATCCTTGTCAGTGCTCCTTTGGGCTACCGAACCCTCAATCCTGGCCCATCACTGGCTTTTGGGACCGAGTTCAATTTCGAGGGAACACACCTCCTTATGTTCATGCGGAGGTGAAGACCATAAGGCATGAGCTCCAGGAGCGATCCACTATCCCATGCGTAGGTGAAAACCACACGAGGGAGTAGTCTCTCACTCCTACTTAGATAGGACAGAGCATGGTTTTAGCTCATGTTATGCAAATGCAACTGTGTAGTGTGTGAGGAAAAACGAAAATAAAACAACACATAATCACAAAGCACTCAAAAAATCAATCCTCTTTAAACACATGATTAATCTGAAACCATTAGCAAATAGATCAATACAACTATTTATTGGTTAATCAAATGCTGAACAAACAATATTAAAACCAAATAAGAGATCAAAAACCAAATTAGAACGAATTTATAACTTTCATTTGCAAAGACAGTCAATCAATCTACTATAGGCCTAACTCTCTAAAAAAGTCCCCAGCGGAGTCGTCAAGCTATCGAAACCATTTTTTCCTTAAGGGGCCATGAGATTTTGAAAAACCACACCAATTTTTAATTATCTTATTTATGATTGATTTTTATTAAAAAGTAATGTTATTTTAGAAAACCTTTTGTTTCGAAAATTTGGGATTTTATATATAAGTAAAAAAACGGTTCAAAGAGTCGCCACCAATCCTTGACTAGGGTGTGATTGGGCACCCAAAAATGTTTTGTCATTTTAAATAAAAAATTAATTTTAATTAAAACAACAAATTGAGGTCTGTGTTATCAGAAAATGAGTTCAGGAGTCAATTACCCGTGGGGAATGATTAGCACCCCCACAGCGCCCTAAATCGGTACCTAGCCGATTAATTAACGTCTTTGCAATGAAATTTACAAGTTCAATTTTAATTTGATTTATGATCCCCAACAAAACCACAATATATGAATTTTACCATATTCAAAAGCATAAAATTTGATTAAGTTAAATTACCCAATCTTTAGAAAGATAAAGAATATTAGATTATTTAAAAATATCGAGACCAGATCTTAAATCAGTTATAACAACCTTTTCTCGATATACTTAAATAGTCGAACATTTCTTTTTCTTCCATTCCCAAATTTTAAAGTGATGAATCAATTTCTTAGGTGTCACTGATGGGATACACTTTTATTTTAAAATCGTTAAAAGTGGACCTCGAATAAGTTAAGACAACCCACTTAAAACAATTTTAAATTAAAATGGTATTACCCTTAATCCAATTATGTAATAATGTCGAGTTATACAAATCAGGATATCATGCAAAAAAAACTAATTAGATAATTCCATGCATTCAAATAAACTTCTAAGTCTATAATAATATATTCACATGCATTTATGATTATTTACTTTACAAAGGAATATTTTTCTTAATGTTTTAAACCTATTATATTCACATTAATATGTTACAAGGGCTTTTATTAATTAATTACTAGAATAATGTTTATTTCATTAAAATATTACCTAAACTAAAGTGTGCTTACAAGATACATGGATACATACTATAACATGCATTTTCATTAAAATGAAACTATATAAAATTAAACCTAATATTTATAACTCAAACTCATATTAAAAGTTGTCATGAAGGACCAAAACACTATAAAACTGAAAATATGCATACAAAGTAGAAATTACCCCCATTAAATCAAACAAGCATGCTAAAGGATTAAATTATCAAATAATCAAAATTACAAGTTACATTCGAAAATAAACATAACAACAACTCAAGACAAAAATGAGAAGCGTTTACAAATATGAGAACCAAATAACAAAACAGAGAAGATTCTATTCTAGGACTAAAATGTGATAAATTAAATCTAAAGGACCTCGCGCATAATTACCCATAATTATCCTAAAACACGACTCACCTCCTCTAGACTCAAAGCGATGTCGTTTTGGCAATGCATGAAACGACGACGTATCGCGGGACATATATATAGGCTTTCTAGAGTAAAACTTTTTAACCTAAACCATTATTTCCTTTAGCCTAAACCAACCCTCGTCGCCTCTTTGGTTTTCTCTCAACCTCTCATTCCTGAACTTCGTCTAACCCTACGCAAAACCCAGGCCTCCGTCGCCTCCATCGTCTCCCATGGTCCTGAAGAAGAACCCATAAACCCCAATGATAATCCCGTCCAGAAACCTATCTAAAACATAACCTTAACCCTAGACTTAACCCCAAACTCAATCGAAATCCCAACCTATTTCACCTTCTGCTCCCACGTAACATTAATAATGCCACCATCACTTATGAAAAACGATGAAGGCTCAAACTACTATCAAACCCCCACTAAAACAAAATCTAACCTACCTAAAGAAAACTCAACCTCCACAACCCGAGACTAACCCTTCTTCAAAGATCAAACCCCACAAACCCATCTCATGAGATAACAGTAAACTAAAAGCGTAAAAAATCTCACCCTCGATGACTCAACGGCGTTCAGGTTTCAAGCGGTGGTGATGGTTTTCTTTGACTCATGAAGGTAAGTTTCTTTCGTGTTTTCTCTATCCTAGTTGCTCTGGATGGTTTTCTACTTTCTATTTGGTAGATTATTTTTCCTCGGTTGTTCTTGATGGATGTTGTTTTTTGGTATTTCGCTTCGTGTTCTTTATTGATGATAGATGATAATCTCTCTAGGGTTTTCTTTGGTTTGCTTGTTGATGTGTTTTCTGTTTTCTGTTCTCGCTGGTGATGGCTAATCTTTTTTTAGGTTCATTTTTTCATGTCCCCCCCGGTTAATCTGTTTTCTGTTGATAAAAATGGTTTTCAATTTCTTTCCCGATGCAGGAAAATAGAGACCCATCACCATGTGCTCCCTCTTCGCCTGTTGCAGATCATGGGTGTTGGATGCGTAGAGTAGAGCTCGGTTGGTGTGCTCGTGGAGTAGCATGGGTTCTTCTTGGTTGTGGTGCTGGCAAGGCATGGGTGATAGTAGTGGTGGCCGACCACCATGGGTCTTGAATAATTTATTTAATATTTTAATAATTTGTTTAATATTTTATCCTTAACAAACCTTTACAAGACAAATACAAATTTTTGTAACTTTAAATCATTTGAGACCTTTTGCCCAATAGTTTGGACGTCTGGTTGCTCTCTCCCCTACCCGAGACCCTGGTTTGATTCCCCTTGAGCACAAGATTGCCCATTTATTTTCATTTCAATTGGTGGTGACACATAAAAAAAATCTTCCAATCATATATTGACATGTGTCATATTCTAATTGTATAATTAAGTTTATTTAATTGAATTAAAATAGTGACTAAATTAATAGAATATGTAAATATTAAGGACCAAATATATAATTATGTCAATTTTATTAACAGACACGTCACCACCACCTGTATTAAAAATTAACGGCTGATAGTTTGATTGAATCAATTAAATAGTTGAGTGATCTGATTGATTTAATTGAAAGTTCGATGGTCACATTGATTTTTTTACTATAGTTTAGTGGTCTCCTGTGTAGCTTACCCTTATTTTTTATAAAAAAAATAAAAATTGTGTGTTATCTTATAATCTGCAGCTGAAACAGCTGGAATCTCCGCAACAATCAAATCTCTTTGCAAAGGTAATTTCACATGAGGTTTCGTTTGTTTTTGAATTTCGAATCCTTTCTTCTTCTTTGTTTCGCTAATTTTATTTTTTTGTACGCTGAGGAATCAAATCATCAGTTTGTTGAAAGATTTAACTTTTTAGGGAAAAGGCGAAGGGCAATGGCGGAAGGAGAAGAGGATCTGCCGAGGGATGCTAAGATTGTCAAATCACTGCTGAAATCAATGGGCGTTGAGGAATATGAACCTCGCGTTATCCATCAGTTTCTTGAGCTATGGTATCGCTATGTCGTGGATGTGTTGTCGGATGCACAGGTTTACTGTGAGCATGCCGGCAAGCAAACCATCGATTGCGATGATGTCAAGCTCGCTATTCAATCCAAAGTCAATTTCAGCTTCTCACAACCCCCGCCAAGAGAGGTAGGTACTTTTTCTTTAAATTGATCCCTGGCGTCTCCAAAAATGAACCATATTGACTTGTGCTCATGATGCTAGTGTTAATGCAACCCAGGAATTTTTTGGGAGGTGCTAAAATAACACAAATCTTGTGTTTTTGTTCTTTCATGTTCTTTCTTGAATGGCAGTTGATATCATGTTCTTGAATGAAGAAAATATATGAATAAAGATTGTGAAAGTGGTTTTGTATTTTTGTTTTTTTAGGTGCTTTTGGAATTGGCAAGAAATAGGAACAAAGTTCCATTGCCGAAGGCAATACCAGGGCCTGGAATTCCCCTTCCACCTGAGCAGGATATATTGATAAGAACGAACTACCAATTTGCTATCCCTAAGAAGCAATCGGCTCCGGCAATGGAAGAGACTGAAGACGACGAAGAAAGTGTTGAACCGAATTCATCGCAAGAGCAGAAAACCGATGTGCCACACCCAACATCTGGGAGAGTATCGTTTCCTCTCGCTAAGCCCCCCAAGTGAAGACTCGTTTTTATAAGCTGTTTCAAAAATCCATCCATGCAGGATAATATATGCTTTTAAGTTTTATCATGTTCATCAAAACGATGATTGATGTTTCATCTGATATCATGATGCAATGTAATAGATCATTGAAATCTATCCAAGTTACTGCTTCAATTCTTAATGTTAAATGTTCTTTACATTGGCAATTTGTGCACTTTTGTCCTGTATGTGTTTATAAACATAAGATTGAATTAATGGAGGTAACTGCTAAGAAATCAATCATTTCATTGATTGCTGAATCCAGTTAGCCAATGTTTCCTAGCAATGGAACCATATAGCATTGTTCTGTACATATATTTTTCATTTTTACACGAGAATAAGCTATTGCTTCTTTTTATTTTGCATAAAGAAAGAATTGAAGAGGGTCAGGTCAACTTCTTGAAGCAAACATAGTACTAGCAGAGGGGTCCCGTAATGGAAACAGGGAGACATCGGTTATACATCCTCTGTATCTCCTCCCTGTACTCTGTCAAAGACTTGTCGGGTACGGATGGTGTTAGCTCCACCACATCCCCCATCATCAGCCTGCATGTTGTATCGCTCACCAGATCATGGTTCAGCCTTGGCCTCAACTCTTCCTTCACTGGAAACCCGTATGGAGACCATCTCAAGTTCCCCCTCCCAGCTCTTACTAGCAAATCCATCATCGTTGAGTTTGCCGGAAGCTCCTGCACCGACATCTGCAACATTCATAGAACCATAAATATTCAGACCGAACTTCCTATCTCCATCAGCTAGTAAAATGAAGTGAGCCATTTAGGAAACATACCTTATCATTTTCGATCATGATAACAAAGACAGGTCCATCCTGGCTGCAATGAGGCTTATAAGAGAATGGGCAATCATCGAAATGTGTCGGGAAGGTGCAGGGTGGCTTGACAGAATCAGTGTAGCCAATCGAACAACCTTGGTCCTTGCTCATTGTTTTACAGTGCTAAGTCACAACCCATCGAGCACACTTAACCATCTGAAGTACAAATGAAGAGTACTTCGAGTCACCCTCCTTGTATCTCCAGTGAGCTGCAAAGCCAAACTCAGCTTGCAAATGCATCCCCTTTGTTCTAATTTGAACTTCAAGTGGAATTGCATCTTCACTCATGACCACCGTGTGCAAAGACTGATACCTGCAGATTGGAAGGAAGTTAGAAGGAAATTTTGCAGTTTTTCAGATTCCATCCAAGAACAATTCTGAAACATGTTAATGTATAATAAGCCCATTAAATTTAGGATAGCTTATATAGTCCTTCAGCTTTCCAGTTACTTCAGACCATAACTGGTGAACTACTGTCAAAGCCTCATAACAGTTTTCCTCCTTTTCAACAATGATTCGTAGTCCATGAATATCATGGATTTCATCCATTGTCAACTTTTTCCTGCAAAAAGAAGATAATATTTAGCGTCAACAATGACCTACTGCACCCTTTGCTTGATCAATTGTTGATAATTTCTAGAAAAGAGAAAACAATCCCAAAACATATGCCTAGTCTTCTGAGAAAAAGATTGCAATGTAGGAAACAGCACGTGTGTGCATACACCTGTGATAATGACGTGCGAATGTCTCTCGATGATAGTCAATGTGTGTGAATGTGTTTGTCCTCTGCCTGCTATGGGTGCTTATGAGTGTATAAAAAAGAAAGAGAGAAATAACATACTTCAAAATCTTTGAATAAATGCTATATAAGCTTTTATGTCGTCCAGAGAGAACACGCCAAGTAATTTCTTTACCCTTGAGCGCTCTCCCGAGTTTCTCTATAGCAGAAGTGATCATTGCTTCATCAAATGAGTCCACAAGCCTAGAAGACAGTTCTCTGTGCTTCTCCGGATTGTGATGCTTGAAACATAGATTCTCCAATTGCTCCTTCCAGCTAGAGATTCCTAACCGATTGGCCAAAGGAGCAAATATTTCCAAAGTCTCCTTAGCAAATTTCTGTTGCTTGAGCGGAGGCAGAGCATCTAGTGTCATGTTATGCAACCGATCTGCCAATTTAATATGAACCGCTCGTGCACCTGCCATAGCAAGGAGCATGGTGTGAAAGCGATCAGCTTCAACAGTCTTACTCGCCGTATTGTTTTCTCGTGCTAGCTTGCTTCAAAAGAATATTGATTTCTATAATTCAATGACGGAAATTAAACCACGTGGAACCCATGAATCTGCTCTGCATATAATGCTCATGTAATAGATCAATGATAATCATATGCGCCATTATTGCAAATTGAATATACCAAAATTTCAAATGCAACACAGCACGATCCTAATAGTAAAATAATTTGGCTTAGTAAGAACATCAATACATCAGCCAACATAATATGCAAGAGAGATTCATATCTCTTACCCCTTCGGCTAAATTAGCAACCCCGGCACCAAATGTTCTAAAAATGTAGTCGTAACTCAAGAATGAGTCGTCAAGGGTGTCGTGTAAAAGCCCTGCGGCAACCACAGTGGACTTAGCACCAATCGATGCCAACAACACTGCTGTTTCTACACAATGTCGCAAATAAGGATCGCCACTCGCACGCATCTACAAACAAAGAACATCATATAACCCTTATAAACAATGAGAGACCAACAAAACATAAAGATCAAAACATTGATTTTTCTGTTTATACCTGTCCTCTATGTGCCTTCTCGGCTTCATAAAATGCTTTGATAACAATATCTTCGGAAAATACGTTTTGCTTCATTTGTGCACCTAAAAGCAATTTCTTGGCATAAGGATCCGAATCCACTTCGTGAAATTATCCTCCATAGTGAAGGGTAATTGATCAACACAACTACTGCTTTGCACCTAGAAAGTCGGGGAATCGTAATGAAGACAAGATCCCAATGCACCCCTAATGAATCCATTGAACAATCGATTTGTCCCAACACGAAATGAGCCATGGAAATTCACATCCCCACCCTTTTCGCGAACATTTCGCATAGGAGAGCTGTTGCTACTATACGAAACTGGGCCCTGAAAGACCGATATTGGGCTCTGATTGGTTTTCCAAGAAGAACCACCGAATTTACCCGATGAGTAACAAAATGAACTGCTTAATTCTTTCAAATCTTCTCCTCTATAGGACCCTAAATCCTCTCCCCCACAGCCAGAAAAGCTTGATTTTACCGACGGCGAGGAGAAGAGGCACGATAGACCACCAACAGCGGGTCTCTGTAAAGAACCGGAAGCGGTCGTTGAGGAAGTTGAAGAGGATCTTGAATTCAAATCAAAATCGTAAGAAGCGTGAGAATTCATGTTGATCTGAATAGGCGCGGAGCACACGGTGCTCGGCGTGCTCCTCGGTGGACTAGCGTAAATAGCTATTGTCGAAACCGCCATGGCTTACGAACAACCAAGATAAATCCCCAGAATAAATGGTTTTAAAATGAAATAAACGTCAAAACCCCAGCATTTTCCCTCCAAAGAAACAACAAATTTTCTCAGGATCCAATCAAATTTTCCTTAAAAAAAAGCCAACAATTTAAGGGTTTTCCACCCTACAATCAGAAGCCAATGAATTTGCCAAACGAGATCCAATTGGAATCTCAAGAGTAAGAACTAAAAAGGCGAAAGAAACCCCTTTGATTCTAGACGTATATGTATACTTTCATACATACATTCACACAAACAGCAAAGAAAAAAAACAAAGAATCGAAAGGAAAGAAATTGTTTTGAAGAGAAGGATTATTGAGCTACAGTATTTACAAATATATAGCTAGAGGGGGTATACGGGCTAACCGCCCGTTTAGCATGCGGATTTTGACGGTGCGAACTTAAACGGTGCGGGTTAAAAAGCCCGCATTCATAAACGGTTTTGAATTTTAAGGTTCACGACCCGTCCATTTAACCCGCGGGTTAAACGGGTTTACCTGCGGCCCGTTTAATAAAAATAATTTTAAATGCTTTAAATACAATAAAAAATAATGTTTTAACTTACTACACCTTTAAAAATGATCGAACAACTTGAAAAGGAAAGTAGCACTGTCAAAATAATAAATAATATTTAAAATTTATTTTAAATAATCGGAAATGATTATAAAATAATATTTTTTTAATTTTTTAATCATTAATATATATATATATATATATATAATGATATAATTACTTACACTCAAATTAAAAAAATAATATTCACTTATATCACCAAATTGAAAAATAAATAAAACAATAACCACATTATACTTTTATAAAACACAATTATTCAAGGCTATAATATGAATACACAGAAGTGTCTGAAAGTAGAAATTCAAACTTAAAAATTTAACAAAGTCAAACATTATACAAATCTAACAAGAAAGTTGTCAAGTGTTTCTAATAATTGTATTTTATGGATACTTTAGAGAAATACTAAAACATAATATGAAAATATAAAATAAAATACTTACAGTATAAGAGCAAATTTGAAAGATACAATTATATTAAAATTGATAAAATATAAGTATTAATTTGTTAAAATATATTTATTTTGTAAAAGTCTTTAAAAGTTGAAAAATATATTTTTAATTTTTTATTTTACTTTTCTTTCTTATTTTTAATCTAAATATTACGTGTCATGTGATATATTATTAGAATATCACGTGACTTTTTATAATTAAAGAAAAAAATGGATAACATACTTCATGAAAAAAAATAAAGGTCATAATTAAATAAAAAAGCTTTAAATACCAAAATGATAATGATGTATATTTAAATGAAAAAAATATCAAGCAACGGTAAAATTATGACAAACATCCTAATAAATTTAAGAACTACAATAGTTATAAGTAACATCATATTTATAAGTAATTTATTTTTTTCTATAAAATTCTTTAAGTTTATTTTTTCTAAAATTTTATAAATTTTAAATTAAGCGGGCTTTAGCGGGTTTAACGGGTAGCCCGCGATTATACCCATTAAACCCGCGGATTTAACGATCCGGGCTAAAAAGCCCGCAATTTAAACGGTCTTTAATTTTTGAGGCCCGAAACCCGCACGGGTCGCGGGTTAAACGGGTAGCCCGCGAGCCTTAGCCCATATACCCAGCTCTATATATAGCCTAAATTTCTATTTGTAAATTGACAAATTAAAGGGAGGAAAATAAGAGAGTCAACAAAGACGCTGGATTTTTTGAAATGAAAGCTTAGCTTTCCTTCTCTTTCCTTTCCTCTTCTTCTTTGATTTTTCCTTGGAAAATAATTTTTTTTGAAGGTAAGTTTTTTTTGTATGCATTCAAATAGTTGAATATGAATCTTTACCTACTATATATTTCTCATATGGGAAATATGTGAATGTCAAAGATATATGTCCATATAATATGTCAAACATGTGTCATATTAATTCTAAAGTTTTGGACATTTTAATTTTATCCCCAAACCATACCACGTGTTATAAACTGATGCCAAACTTTTGTATATTATAAGTCCATCCTAAACTATAATCCTTATTCTAAGTTGATTCCAAAATGTTAGAGCATTCTAATAACATTTCCTAAATCATTCAACGGTCTAAAAATTAATATAAAATAAGAATCACTATTTAGAGATGAATTTAAAATGTTTAAAATTTTAAGAATCAATTCAAAATAAAATTATAATTTAAAAACATGTTTTTGCAACTAATTCAATTATTATATTGTTTAAAAAGGAAAAATTATATTTTTAGTACTTAAACTATTAATTTTGATCCGTTTTAGCACCTAAACTTTTAATTTTTTCAAAAACATATATAACGTTTAATTTTTGTTTCATTTTAGTATCCCTTCATTAAAAAAATTAACGTGTTTAGTACTTAAACTATAAGTTTCAAACCGTTTTAATATTTAAAATTTCAATTTTTAAAAAAATTAACATTAAATTTTTAGTGAAATACTAAAATAAACAAAAACTAAACATTATACATCATTTTAGAAAAAAAAAATTAAAAGTCTAAATATTAAAATGGACCAAAATTTTACCCCAAAAAAATTGTTTTGTCATCATCATATTTTCTAAAAAGAACCAAGCATGGAGATAACCAAATGACTAAAAAGAGGGGCAAAACGGGAAATCCAAGTAAGGTAAACGTGATAATTCAAAGAAGCTCTAGAGCACACTTAAGTGCAGGATAAGGACTTCACCGCTTTCCTTTTCCCTTCCAATTCTCTTTGCCAATAATAAAATAAGAATATGTCACATTTCATTTCGGCTCCAGAGTCCTATCGGATCGATAATTTAGAAGATAGTAAGGCGATGTATGATTTGGTTGAAATGGAGAAAGAGTAAAAGGGCATAGAGATGTCACTTGGCTGCACAAACATTGAAATGCGTGCATGCAATATGAACCCTAAACCCTAACCCTAACCCTAACCCTAATCCTAACCCTAATCCTCTACAATCAATGATGCCATAAATGCTTTGAAGCTTATTCGCCGCTTCAAATATTGGAAATCCAACACCATCCATACTCCCGTCGCACTTACAAATGACAAAAGGCGGGTTTCGATGGCCGACATTAATACCTATTCTGTTTCTTGTAGAATAACAAATCCATTTCTGTATTATTTTTCAGTTAATTTGACTTTTATATTTGTTCACCTTATTCGGATTTTTATTTTTCATTTATTAAGTGTTGAGATTTTTGGAGTTGTATATATTTGAGATAATTATATTTTTTGTTGTTACTTTTGACATATCTATATTTGAGATAATTATATTTTTTGTTGTTACTTTTGACATATTTGTGTAATGTGTCGTAGTCAAATTTACTATCTAATTTAATCACTAATATGTAAATAATTATCAGCAAACTAGACTTGGTATTTTCTCTCAGTATTAATATATAAGCTATCATGCGAAACCATTGAGGAGAGAACATTTTTTTTCTCTTCCAAATGTTTTCTCTCTCGATGATTGTTTATCATCGTCTTTAGTTCGTCTACTCTTCATTATCTCTCTACCGAATAACTGGTTGTAATTTTCCACCTAAATCATAAGATTTGGACTGTTAATTCAACTTTTTCAATTTAGTTAAAAATATAATAAAAATATTATTAGTTGATCTTTAATTTTAATTGAAATTCAAACTAAATATTAATTTAGTTAAAAATATAATAATTATATAATTTAGTTTAACTTAATGGATAAATGCACGATGCTTCATGGGAAGGTCTTAGGTTTTATTCTCCTTACTCTCTAATGAAATCCTGCAATGAAACCCTTAGACGTGTTTGGTTTAGAAAATATTTTCTAATATATATAAAAATTTAATCTTTTAAAAATTAGAAAACATACTTAAAGAAAACTTAAGTTTTAAAAAAAAAGTAAATTTAGAAATAAAATAGTTAAAATATATTTGGTATATATTTTTTAAATATATATGAACAAATAATTATTAAATAATTATATTAAAATATAATTATTAAAAATTATTACATAACTTTAATATGTGATTTATGTAAATATAAAATTATAAAGTTGATAAGAAATTTTGTAACACTAATTATTTTAGTTTATAATATAAATATAATGTTAATTCATATTGAACATCAATCAAATTAAAAAAATACACAAAAATATTATTATAAATAAGAGCAGACAAAAATTTTATTAAAATAAAAAATATATTTATAGGTATTTAAAGCTCTCATACTTTTCGAAAAAAATTAGTGTAGCCCTTAAACTTTTATTACACTCAATATAACTCTTAAAATGGGGGCTCTTGACACTTCCGCTGGCGGCACGTGGCATGTCACCCGCCGCCGCCATATGATCAATGTAGATTACGGACACGTGTTCTTTGTGAATATACTATATAAATATCTTAAAACCATAAGAGTAAGTGTCTAGAAATTAAAGATAAAAAATAAATATAAATTAAAAAAAATATCGATAATCATTAAAGTTAATGCCACCCTCAACTAAGAAGAAAAGCAAAAAGCTCTCGACACAATAAAATTTTTTAAGGTTACGATCTTTACCTAATTTTCAATCTATTATCATATTGTAAATATAAAAGTAAAATGATATGTATTTTAAGGATCACATAATCATTTATAACATCTCTGATTAAATAATGAGATCAATTAATACATATGCTTATTTTACCCTGAAAACAGAACATTTAAAAGAGATTAGCCATGAACTGAAGTAGCTTTCTAGGTAGTGTGACCATTCGACCATGAGCTATACCTGCAAGCATATCAGCCGCCAAGTTCGCCTCCTTTCTTGTAAGTGTAAGTCGGACCTTTTAATATTGTTTAATAAAAACTCTAATATGATCAACAATGGCAGATCCTAGAACAGCTCTATTAAACGAAAATAACATGCGGAATGCCGCGGGGTTATTAATTTCTACGATCACCTTACAAGAGCTCAACCTTCATGCATGTTTTAAAGGCTCGTGTATTGCCCAAAGCTCAGCTGATAAAATGGAGCAATTTTTAGGCCTCTCAGGAAACCCAAATATCCACTTTCCTTGCTCGCATCGCAAAGCCCCCATGCAGCAACTGCCAAGTTGTGATAATGAACGACACCATTCGTATTTGCTTTGATCCTTTTCATTCAGAGAGTTCTCATGATAAATTCATAATCGATTATATTGTTGCACGTGCAACTACGATTTCCTGCAACGATCTTAAGTTTCAACTAATTATATCATCACGTTCAAAATAATTTTCGTTAAAAATAAAAAGATTACGCTGCTTCCACAAACTCCTAACATATAGAGTAGTAAAAATTAAATCAGGTTTTGCCTCCACCGCGTGGCTACCTTGCTTCCGTTAGTTGTCCCACAACCAACCCATCAATAGCATTAACATAAAATCTGAGGAGCTCGTCTCTTTTAATGAGTCAGGATCAAGTTGATGGGGGTCTTTGGACATTTTCTTAGAACATGATAATCTCTTCTCCTCCCAAATTACAAATATAACATTAAAATAATTATTTAATTATTATAAAATATAATTAAACTTTTAATTTATATATATATACATATGTATATATATATATAAGATTTCGATCATAGGTTGAGCTGATTTTCCAGAAAGAAACCATGCAGGCTGTAATGTTGCACGTTTATGTGCTATGTTAATCAAAAACTTAAGAGTACATGTGAAGTGGGAACCTAGGGTGTCCCACGGCCTCAAGTGGGTACCTTTTAGGGGTGGAGAGTCCGAAGATTTCCTCCATATTAAGATCATCTTCTGTAGGTAATTTCCAAGTGAAGCCATGTAAAACATTAGCCAAACTTGTTTGAATGACCTTAATCGCCAGGGGATATCCAGGGCACTTCCTTCTACCCGACCCAAATGGCAACAACTGAAAATCATGACCTTTGACATCAATTGTCTTCCCAATGAACCTGTCGGGCCAGAATTCATTGGGCTTGTCCCAAAGATTAGGGTCTCTCCCGATTGTCCAAATGTTTACAAGGGCTCTTGTGCCCTTGGGAATATCGTAATCGGCTACTTTACAATCTTGACGAGCAACACGAGGCACCAGCATGGGTGCCACCGGGTGCAACCTCATTGCCTCTTTTGCAATTGAGTTGATGTAGTGTAGGTTAACAATGTCATCCTCTTCGACCCATCGTTCTATGCCGATTACCCTATCAAGTTCTTCTGTGGCTTTGCCCAAAATTTCTGGCTTTTTCAACAGTTCAGCAACTGCCCATTCTACTGTCACTGATGAACTATCGGTTCCAGCAGCTATTATGTCCTAAAACACGACCAAAAATGGTTAACCAATGTTAGAGTTGAAGTGTTCTATTATATATAAAATTTGGATTTTAGAGAGATTCAGACTCTTTTTAAAGTTGATCGATTCGAATTTATAAAAAATTCACCCCATTCTAATAAGAGAGTTACTAAATATATATTCTTTAAAGGTTAAAGGCATTCTGACTCTTTTTATGGCTAATTCCATTGATATTGAATGGGTTTTGGGAAGAACCAATAATAGAAGAAGAAAGATAGGTAGAATACATACATTTTGATATTATTATCATCGCAAAAGACGGGTGGTGACAGATGACGATTCGCTGTCAAAAGACTAAAAAAGTGTGGTTCCAAAAAAAAAAAATTGTTTAAAACTTTATTAATATATTCCTAAAGTTTAACACCTAAAATGATGTCGTTTTAAGTATTAGTCGCACCAAAAACAGTGTTATTTTGTCTATGTTATCACTTAAATTTTAATGACTCAATGATATAATTGAAGTCAAAATCAAAGTATAATACTATAATTAGAAAAATTAAATATTTAATGGTATAAATGATATACCGATTAAAATTCAGTGATATCGAGAATAGTTTACCCTAATCCAAGTTTAACTGAATAATTGTGTGATCAGTAAAACAAAGAGCAAGTCATTTGAACCATTTACCTGAGTAAATGCCTTGACACCATGCCTTTCAAGCTTGACCTCAAGATTGGGATCCTCAGACAGCTGCAAAAGCACGTCCAACATGTCTTTAGCCACATAATCTTTGACCCCTTTTCTCCTTTCGTTGTGTTCATCCAACACATGTTCCAAGAACCTGTCGAACTTCTTTGCCAACACCTTCATTCTCTTAATATTGCCCTGCAAATCAAGGAAACTGAGCCAAGGGATCGAGTCACCGATATCGAGCACACCGTTAAGCAAGAACAGCTCGTTGAGCATCTCCATGAACTCCTTCGGGGTCACGATCTCGTTCTCGCCAGTCGATTCCGTGTATTTCTTCCCAAACACCATCCTACTGATCACGTTAAGGTTCAAATTCAGAAGATGGTCTTTCAAAACAATTGGGGTACCACAAGATTGGTACAACCTTCGCAGGAAAATTTTCCTCTCTTCTTTTCGGATATACTCGAATGACTCTAGGCGTTTCGCGCTAAAAAGCTCCATTAGGCACATCTTTCGCGCTTGACGCCAATATGGACCGTAGGACGACCATGTGATATCGGAATAATTGTAAGTAGTGTACTTGCCGGCTGCAGTCTTGGGCCGGTCAGTGAAGATAGCATCATTGGTTTTCAATAGTGCTCGGGCCATTTCGGACGACGAAGCTACGATGACCGGGAATGACCCGAATCTGAGTTGCATGATATGTCCATATTTCCGGGACAGGGCATGGATGGATTGGTGGGGAAGTGGGCCAATAAGGTTGAGGTTACCGATTAACGGCCATGGTTTCGGACCTGGTGGTAAGTTGAGTTTCTGACGACGGCGGAGATGGAGGGCGAGGAGGATGAGGGCCAGAGTAGCAAGCCATGCTGTCAAGTAAGGAACCCAAGATGGTTTTTCCATTTGTTTTGCTTCGAGTAATGTCGATTGCGGGGGATGATGAAGCTTTAATGTAAAACTTCTATTTATAGACAACTTAAAAAAATAGATTTTATTAAATAAAATAAAACACCCGAATTTCAATTTTTTATAAAAGTAAATTGTAACGTGCCTTGTTAAAAATCTTTTAAACTTAATTAGATAAAAAGAATAAATGCCATTAATAAGAGACTAACAATAGAGGACCAAAAAAAGACAAGAAAAATGATATGGTATTTGATTTTATAAGTGTGTTTTTATATCGTTGAATATGAGCGACGAAGGGGTGACGTCATTGAAAATACCAGTTAATGTTATTTTATGTATAAATTACATCATTCTTAACCTTACTTTCACTCTTATTTTACTCATTAAATTCTTTTTTTTTTTAATTTATTTATTAAATTTTACATATCGAATTATTTTATTCACTCAACCACCTTCTCTCTAACCGTTGGATGACATTGTTTTTTTATCAATGTTATGATGATATATACCTTTTGTTAATATTTACTTATGACGTGTAATTTTTAAAATACTAAATTTTATTCCTAAACACTAATCTCAAATTACAACTCCACCCCACCTTCACCCTCCAACTCCCACCTTCTCACCCTCCAACCTTCATTGTCTATCTCATCCGAAGCCTCCACTGCCACTTTTTCTTGCCATCGAAAAACACTCTGTAAACAACACTTTTACAATATGATACTAAATTACGTCTCCAAATCAACGCCGAACCGATACTAAATTACGCCTAAGATGATACTTTTAAAAAGAAAATTAAAAAATTATTTTAGAGGAACATCAAAGTGCACGGAAAGATAAAAAATATTCGATTTTAAGTTTTATTACCTATAAATTACATGCGAGTTTTAAATTTTTTTTATCGGCAATAAGAAATTCTTTTATTAAAAGAGTTTGGCTTAGTTATATACCTCGCTAAAAATCTTCTTAAAGTTTAAATAAAGGAAAAGAATACATATTACAAGTTGATATTATTTATTGTAATTTATATACATAAAGATACTCTCATGAAAAATAACAGACACATTAAAACAAAAAATAGAAGATACATTTTTTTAATGTTGCTGTATTATTTTTTAACTTTCATGAAGTGGTCCATCCATCCTGCACTCTACCAACTGCACATTAGTGGCAAATATTTAATCAATAATAATGTTGATATTTTTGTTTAAAATAATACATGTTGGAGTTAAAAATTATAATTACGAGAGATAGTTTAATTAATTAAGACCAAGACTTCATGACGATTAGAATGTACGTAAACAATATGTCATAAATCGTTAGTTTTTCCCAAAAAAAAGAATTTTTTCATAAATATTTGGGTAAACTATAAGTTTAGTATCTAAATTATCATTTTTACTCGTTTTAGTATCTAAACTTTCATTTTTTTTTTAAAATCATATCAAATGTTTAGTTTTTGTTTTATTTTAATACCTCGTCATCAAAAATTTAATGGATGAGCTTGTCGACTATTGCATCTACAATAGTCGATGGTCGTATCTGTCAACCAGTGAAGCTTAAACTTTCTAGTCTGTACCTTTTTGACCTCTTGAACATGATTCTGACCTCATTTCACTGGGAAACACCTCAATCTCCTTAAATTGGCGATAACTCTTTGATTTCTTCATCATCCGACCTCTATGGTCCATAGTCTGATTGGCCTGAAACTAGACTATGTTGGTAGACTAATCATTCTCTCATGCTCTAACATTCAGATTGGTAGTTTGTTCACCGGAGTTATGCCACGTCTGCTTGTCCATTAAGTTTTTAATAGATGAGTACTAAAATGAAACAAAAATTAAATATTAAGTATGTTTTTAAAAAAATGAAAGTTTAATTATGTAACCCCCTATACCCAACCTAGGAGTTACAACCGAATCAGGGTAATCTTGTTGATCACAAAAATGGTTTACGAATGATCTTGGTTTAATAAATCGTCTTAAAAGCATTTACTAATTATAAAATTAGGAATAAACTCGTGCCACAATTTAAAGAGGTTGAAAGCAAAAATTTAATCTAACACAGTATGAAATCGAGACTACTCCTCCGATAGTCAAACCGTTTATACATCTGAATAATATAAAAATAGAAATAGAAACAAAGTGAGCTACTACGCTCAGTGTGTCCTCTAAATAATAATAATAATTTAGATAATTCAAAATTATATAAAAGCAATAAAATAATCAAGTAACAGTATGATCAAATATTTATTACTAGAAAATCATGCTGAGAGGAACATGGGATCTCCAAAGTGGATTCAGAGCAGAGAAATCAGAATGGGGATATTACCTTCTAAAGAGAACCTGAGTTAACCTCTAAGAAGGAACTCATTAGAAATCAAAAACAGGACGGGGATATTTCCCTCTGTAGAGGATCCATGCAGAATCAAGATGGGGATATAATCCCACACAGAATAAGGAATTCATCAATATACATATTAAATGTGATGCAACATTATTTAGGAATTCAATTTGCAAGCATGCTTACAGATAATAATACACAACATAATAGCATAACATATAAAATGTATCGAACAAATCAATGAAACAAACCTATAATAGTTATTCAACATCGACTAAGCTTTACGTTTCCCACGATCAGTCACATTAGGTCCTGCAGAGTGGGGACCTAAAAATAATACCCCTCTATAAATACAGATGCCAAACAACTAAACAAAAATAAATTATAAAGTCACTAAACAGAACATACGCATATCTCGAGACGAGTGGATGGAATCGAAGTGAGCGAAACGAGAGTGATCAGGATCTATTGGAGAGTGGTCCGAGGACACAAGTGTACCTTTAGAAAATATCACCAAAAAGTGAGTCCAAAATTTCACATTTTACTTTGCATAAATAAGACTTTAGGCCATAAATAACGTAAAACTAGGCTTTCGGGTCAAAATTTGACAAAACGGACTACGGAAACAGATTTAGGATATCGAAAAACATAGAAATAGGGTCTTCAAAAAAGTTAATGGGTCAAAGTCAACGGTCAACGATCCATGTAATGGTTCGATTCAGTTAGATCAGTTCAAGGATCAAATCGGTTCAGTCGAACTGCTTTACTGTTTAAACCGCGATGACAAACCAACTTTTACGGCAGTGCTTGAGGCCTCTTCCGGTAGCCGAAAAATTATGGAAAAATACAAAATTATTTGAATATACAAGGAGTTACAAACTTCGGTTTTTCGAAAAGATCGACGGAGATAAGATTTTAACAAAACTTGAATATTTGAATCTTTACTGGTTGTAAAGGGCAACGAAGAACAATAATTCAAGGATACCAAATGAACGGGTCGACAGGACGAACACAAAGATACCAAAAGAGTCGCTAACCGTTAAGTGGTGTGCGACAAAACTGAGAACAACTAAAACGAGGGGGGGTTTTGAAAGAGAGAATGCACGGAAGATTTTTTATTCAAAAAACGACAAATGGGAGGGAAATGTTTCACAGCTCTAACTTTTAGGGTAAATTACAATCTAAGACCTCCATCTTTTAATAATTTTTATAACGGAATTAAGTTTTCAAAACACACTAATTTAGTTCCCTAAATTTTGAAATGTGACAGAGTTCTAAAACACATCAAAACTTGTAATTTATATATTAAATCCGTAGTTATCCTAAATATTTTTACAAATATTCATATAACTTATTAGTTTAATATATTTATAAATTATTTTTAGCATATTATAAAGATTGGTATTTGAGTGTGATAATTTTTAAATTAATATTTAATTTTTTTTATTTCAAATTGATATTTAAATTTAAAAAATTTCTAAAATTAATATATTACGTTGTTGTAGGATTTCAACAATCAATTATATTATGACATTTAATATTTAATATGGCATTATTCTGATAAAGGGATTTTATGTAATTGTATTGAGATATTATATCAACACAGACATCAATGTAAAAAACTATTAAATTAAGATATAAATTTAAGAAAAATGATTACATTTAAATACTAATTAAATACAAAGCATGAATAAAATAATAAACATTTATTTTATATAAAAAAATCCAATATAATTAAAAAAATGGTAAGTATTTAACAATACATTAATGAATTGGATACATAATTTAACATCTTAAGACTTCAAGTCAAGCCATATATATGATTTAAATTTAAAGAAATATCTTAAAATATTGGGCATGTCTAATTGAATACATAATTTAATATTTTAAGACTTCAAGTCGTATGTAATTAATTAAATTATCTAGTCGGCACATATGCATACATTTCATTGTTCTAACAACTGGAAAGCCATGCACTAACCCACCGGCAAATTTTTAATGTCAAAAGGGATTACGACTTAAAATTAAAGGTGATTTTTTTATCTGATCATCTATTTACTTTTATATTATTGTTTTGATTATTTATTTTTTAAATTTATATTTTATATTTGTTTTGATCATCGATCTTTACATGTGACGTGAATTTTTTGATCCGTTTGAATCTGATATGAAAATCTAAATTATGATCTTATTAAAAAAACAGAGGACTATTATTAAAATTATCCATAAATATATAAAAGATAATTATAAAATTATATTAGATTGAGTCGGATCGTATTAGATTTTAACATCTAAATCCGACCACACCCTAAAATGTCTGATTAATCCGATCTGAAACCAAATTTTCAAAATAAAATATCGACTTGACCAATCGGATCGGTTCTGAAGTCATCCGGTCCGGATTATTTTGCCATCCCCACAACTGCCGAAGGTTTCCAAATGGGCAGACGAGGTTACTATGGACACTGAAACCGAGTTTGATACATTAATTGCAAAATTAACAATGTTATATGACACAAAAATTGTGCTTACAGGTTCTATTCCATATATACCCCCTTATACTAAAAATAGTTATTTACTTAAATTTTAAATAAGAATAAATAAATATGGGAACCATGATTTCCAATTTTGGATCATATTGAAACACTGTTGGGAACTCCCCTGCATGTTACCCCGG